CTCTCCCGAAAACTTTGGCTTTTGTAGGTTTGATGTCAATTTGGCTTCTACCTGTTTTTATTGTACCATGCATCTCATCTAGAATTATAAAACGATTTTTTTTTCTTTTCATATATATTTTTTAGTAGTTTTTTGGTTTTATTTTGGTTTATTGCCCTGCTACTTACATACAAAAAATTATACAATAATTGTCATAATAATAGTTACATACATACATAATAATTTTTAATAATAGTTGCGAGTAGAATACGCGTTCATTGTTCGATCATTTTTTAATATATAGAATTAGACATACATTTGTATGTATACATAGTATGTATGAGCTTCTATTTTTTTTCAAAACTACATACTCACATACATAGTAAATATTATATCATATATGTATGTACATATGTAATACCGTTTTACAGTGGTTTCATATGTACGTATGTGTGTATATGTTTTGGTATATTAATTTACTTTTTTCTTTCATAAATAAATGTGGTCTTAGTTTAATTTATTTAGATGGAAAAAATAGTTTGGATACACTTTTTTAGTTTTTTTTTTTAATATTTTGCTTTGCCGCAAATACTGAGTATTAATTTTTCGAGTTTACTGAAAACACATGAAACACACAGATGATAAGTGAGTATGTATGTATAATATTCATATACATTGTATATGCAGAAAAAATTTATTTATTTTTTACTAGTTTTTTTTGAGTTTTTTCACACATAAGTATTTATGTGTGTACATTAGACCGTACCACCTTACAAGCGAACAAAAAAGTTCCGAGCTATTTTTGCAAGGCAATTTCGAGAAGTTTTTTTTTGCCGAATCTAGAGGTTGCCGTTTTACATTTCTCGGTGCTACCTATATTCGGCAATCATTTTTTTTTAAGAGTTCTACTGGAATAATCAAAACATGTACTTCCTTAGCAAAAGTTGGCGCTTACACAATATCTTACTGTTTGGCCCAGCTTCTCCTCCGATTTGTTGCGTGCCGAGGGGCGACCGCTAGTAGAAAAAACTTTTTCTTTTCTCTTCTTTTTAATGTTAGTACGCACTTCACACCACAATACCTCAGCGACCGCCAGTTTTTTGGTGAGCTTTAATTTACGGACATTAGGGTGGCACGTTAGAGTGATAAGAACTTTGTCTCCTACAGACAAAAACATCGATATATCAAAAGTTAATATCCGACTGTTAATGCCGAAGATATGATGATAAACTTAATAAAAAGGAGTTCGTTCAGTAAAAAGAAATCTAAATTGACTTACAAAAAATAGTTAGATTCAGAGGAGTACGGCGAACATTTATGTTCTGGTAGTTGAAAGAAAAAATTCAAAAAACTGGAGGGGTTGGCATTTGTTCGTTTGTTGAAAAATTTTTTTTTTTGTTTTGAGTCTGATCAGCTACTTATACATATGTAATACTCTAGTGTGTAAATTCGCTTGTTGCTGGTTACTCAGTGCACTTAGCATTCCAAGATTTCGAGCGATAAACTGTAGTAAATGTGGCTGTGTAGCAAATACGATTTTTGAAAATCATTTCAAATCCAATTTGCATCTCCGTTTAGAAAAAAATCTCCATTCGGTATCATTTCGTGTCACTATGTGTCTAAATACATATAAATATTTACAAAACTACTGGGTATGCGTCTGCACTATAATAAATATAAATAGATAACTAGTATATACTCGTTCTTCTACAAACCAGTAAGCTATATTTGTGTGTACATATCTTTATGTCACGCAGCTCGCCGAAGCGCACTATAAAATCGACGAAACGTAGCTGTATTTAGTTTTTGTTTACCTTCTTAATTTTTGTTTTTGAAATTTGTTATTTTTACTTATATATGTATCTCAAGGGTTGCCATATACGCAGCAATTTGCTCCGCGTTTGTTTTATTAATTTGTTTTTGTCTATAATTAATTAAGTGTTAAAATTTATATTTAGAATATTTTCATATAAATACATAAATATAATAGATTTGTTGCCAAAACTCGCTTTTATCTAAAGCAAAAAAAAACTTGTGATATTCAGCATAACAATGAGTGCAAATTATTTAAAAAAATATTACATATGTTTCGTTTTACATCTCCAGTTTTGATTCTAAATCAGTGGTGAGCCTGCCCGCGGGCAAAGCTCTTTCAAGCTTTCTATACGAATACAAAGCTTGAAAGAGCTTTGCCCGCGGTCAAGCTGATGACCACCACCGTTCTAAATTATCTTTGCGCTCTGCTGTCAACGGTATTCTAGTGCTGTTCCAGCCTTAGGCCAATGACGACCTGAGAAAGCTTTTGCTCTGTGTGCGTCTACATAAGTATCTATGTATATAAAAACGTTAAGAAGCTTAAAAAAGTTCTACGCAGCCCGTTTTTTTGGTGACTGCTTGAGACAAATAAACAATACCAAGAAGAAGCTTTTAGTATCAGCTAAATTTTAAAATTTTGAAGCTTAAAAACTGCGCACGTCATTAGCAGTATCAAGCCTGTTCCAGAAACCTCACGATTCGCAGGTTTTAGACGATTAACAGGAAAAGCTGTTTTCCCAAGTAATAACCTTTTTGTAAGGTATCGTAAGGGAAGAGTTTTATGTCAAATTCTGGCAATTCCCGCAAATCGTAAAGTATCTGGAACAGGTAATAATTTAAATAAGAGATTTTACCCTGTGCGCGCTCTTATTAAATCTACAGATGAAGTCGTTTCAGTCGTATCTTATTTAAATCTAGCAAACTGTATAGCTTAGAGAGCTTTTGGAATGCATATAAAGCAGCGATGGACAGAAAGAGCTTTTACTTTGCGCGCATTTATACAAAATGTACAGAAAGCATAAAAAAGCTTTGCCCGCTGGCCAGGCGGTGCCCAACACCGATCCAAAGCTTCATCGCTTTGCTCCAAATAGGTCGACTAGCAATGTAAAGCGCCGTTTTTAATTTTTCTTTGCAAACCTATATGCCTAATGGAGTTCGTACTATACATTTGGAAATTATAAAGCTTTTGTTTTTGGAGAGGAATGCAGCTAATACATTACAAGATAATTTTTAGTATGTAATTATGAAAAAATTCTGAAAAAATCTGAGGTTCCTATTAAATTATTTTAATCCATAGCTATCCAAAAGAAATTGCTTGAAACTTTTAAAATCATAAACTTAAAGCTCTAATGTTTCTTTTTTTGTTAAGTTTGAAGAGGGAAATATTCTCTAGAATCAAATTTCTCCTATCAAACTAAATACATGCCTGTTTCATATCAGAGAGCTTTGGCTAGCAACAACAATTTTTATTGAGCCCGAGGCCGTTTTTAATGAAAAACTTATTGTGGAAAAGCAACAATAATTGAGATTTCAGTAAAAGCTTCCGAGATTTTTAGGTTGTATGTCACTATTCTGCAAATTATGAAGCTTTGAATTTTGAGATATCCAATTAATAGGTACACGTGCGGAGCTTTTATTAAGCATTATACATAGTTTATATCGGCCATGGGCAGAGAGAGCTTTTAATCTGCTCNCTGCAAATTATGAAGCTTTGAATTTTGAGATATCCAATTAATAGGTACACACGTGCGGAGCTTTTTTTAAGCATTATACATAGTTTATATCGGCCATGGGCAGAGAGAGCTTTTAATCTGCTCGCGCCTATAAAAAATGTATAGAAAGCTTAAAAGAGCTTTGCCCGCGGGCAAGGCAGTGCCCATCAGTGGTTTATATAGACGCGCACAAGTTTAAAGCTCCTTCCATACGCCACTGATTAAAAAAAGTTTTTAAAAGTTGAAACGTTTTTAGAGCTTCTAAAAAGTTCCATTTTGCTAAATTTGAGCTCTAAAAAACAAGCTTATGATCGGATTCCGGTTTTTTGAGTCAAAAGTTATGCGAAAATTTATGATAGTGGTAAAAATGGAACATCGACTAACGAAGCTGCATAGCTCATCCTAATTGCCTCAATATTTGATTTCTATGCTAAATAGAAGGCTATTCTCTTGAAAAACAAAATTTTAATATATGTATATAAAGCTTTCACTTCTCTTAAAGACCGCACTAACTCTAAAGCTCCAAAGCTTTCCTCTGTATTATCTTGCACAGCTGCAACAGCACTAATTTACCGATATTCGCGTTTTAATTTTCGTAGTTATCAACTTCTCGCCAACGTTCTCGCTTTTATTGTATTCTAAATAGGAAACATAGTAGTTCACTTTCGATTCTTGTTTTTTTTCTTAAAAAAAATTTAAATTTTTTTTGTTTTTATTTTTATGTACCTAGGTTAATATTCGAGTAAGAAAAGGACTTTTTATAGATTATATTTTTCTAACTTTTTGACATTTCCTCACAGGTAAAATAGATGTGTATATGCAATTTGCTCTCCTGTGGATGAGAGAGAAGACTGCATGGAAAAAGCTCTCTAAAGAGTCCGCGTTTCTTATTGCGTGGCACGTAGAAAGGGCGAAAAGTTCTGATATATATTTCCTATGGATATCTCAACGAGCTTATAAATAGAGCTACACTTGTGGTCAGCTGATTGAGCCAAGTGACATTTTGACCAGTTTTGGCTATTTTAATTTTTGTTTATTTAATGTTTAAATTTTTCCTATAAAAGTCTAGCACTTTACCTAGCCAGCGCCACATAAATCCACATTTCAAACTTCGTACAAAAATTATGAAAATTCAACAAACTTTAACATTTGCACCCAAAAACTTTAAACTTTTTATTTCGGATTTTTAGAAAAATTTTGGGTATGCAGTTTTGTAGCTCATTAAATTTTAGTAGGTTAAGTGCAAATTTCAAGATGCCAGAAAATCGAGTAGATTTTTAATACATATTTTTTTTTGCTGATGGTGCTAGGCATTTTTTCCCATAAAAACGAAATTGTCGAGCATAATTTATTTTCTAGCGTCTTGAAATTTACACTTTAACCGACTAGAATTTAGTGGGCGAGACTTAANTGTCGAGCATAATTTATTTTCTAGCGTCTTGAAATTTACACTTTAACCGATTAGAATTTAGTGGGCGAGACTTAAAAAAAAATATAAACATTAAATAAACAAAAAACAAACAAGAAATATAGCCAAAACTAGTCAAAATGTCACTTGCCTTAATCAGCTGACCACAATGGTATTTTTGAGGAGAAACATATCTAAGTATGCAATCTACACCTCGTGGAGTTCAATCCATGAAAAATAAGTTTTCCTTTTACATAGAAAAATAAGTTCTTGTTTGCGTAAAAGCGGAGACTTTGCGGCATGTAGAACCGACTGTTATCTACGTATCTTTTTCTAAGGAACCTTCCCTTAGTAAAGTCTTGTTTCCTCGATTACGATCTGATGACTCCTAAAACAAGTTCCTGATTTAAGAAGACTTACGTTCATTGATCAGGGATCTGGAAGAAATTTCCAATTAACAAAATGTCTCCCATATTTTAACTGACTTTTCGCAAGGGTCAGGAAACGCGGCTTTTTAAGAGTTTAGAGAATTGTACATACATTTGTATGCACACTACAGTAAGAGCTTAGCCTAAAGCTAACGGGGATGTATCTTTTAGGAAATAAAAATGGTATTATGGAAATCTACTTGAAATGGATGGATTGGTCTGGAGTGTTTAGGTGGAATATATTGTTCGCTATCGAAACCTGGTTCAAGCTGGGTATTAATTACCTAATCGCTAAAAAGAGATAGTAAGAGGCTAAGCAGCAAACCAGCTCTTTGTTTTGTCTGCAACTTGCTAAAAATGTAGACGTCTCGCAAGCTTAACATAGCTTATGTCGTTGATAAATCGCTTACTTTCTACACATAGCATTTCTTTTTATGTACATACACCCACTCTCTCAACCTCTCTACTTTATGCGCTGATGATCTGGCGTACTCTTCAATATGTCCGGCTGATGATGGTGCCCGTGTCCGTGTGAGGAGCTCATGGTGCCCTGATGACTGCCGCCGCCTAATGTATGCGTGGCGCCACCACTGTAATGCGACGAGCTGAGCGTATGTGAGTGTGTTGAATTAAGCGTGTGCGTGGCATGCGAATTGAGTGTATTGTGCGCCGTTGTGGTGGCATTGGTCGACATGCCGGCGGTGGTAGTGCCACAACCACCTAGCCCAGTGACGGTACCGGTGCCCGTTCCAGTGCCTGTACCTGTGCCGCCAGCTGGTCGCGTGCGCAACGAACGATGTGATNCATTGGTCGACATGCCGGCGGTGGTAGTGCCACAACCACCTAGCCCAGTGCCGGTACCGGTGCCCGTTCCAGTGCCTGTACCTGTGCCGCCAGCTGGTCGCGTGCGCAACGAACGATGTGACCCATTACGGGTAAGTGTATTCATTTGTGGCGTGCCGGGCACTGTGTGTCCGAGTGCATTCATGTAGTCCGCGATCAGCAGCGTAATTTCAAGTATCTTTGGCTTGCTCATGGCGAAGAGTAATTTCTGCTCCTGTTGGCCGCATGCCGCCAGCGTATCCTCGCTCGAGACGACCAGCATGAAGTCATCTTGACAGCCACCAAAAGTCATAACCGACGTGTAAGGGTAACGCGCTATCGGTATCATCGAGCTGAGTTCGAGCACGTTGAGCGCATCCTCGGAGATTGCTAGCCATGCCATGGCCTGATCGGAGTGACGCGGCTTGGCTTGGAAGAGACTGGCGCCAAAGTAGGGCCATTTGCGACAGCAAGTCAGATAGATGCGCACACAGTCGAGTGTCGAACGTCCCTTCAGCAGCATCCATTTCGAAATGAGCAGCTCTTGCACCTCCTTCAGCTGCTCGGCACTGAGTGCATCACGATAGCGATAAGGATAGAATTTATCGAGCGCTTTCAGCCCCACATTGCTACCCGTGCCGCGCGATTTTTCGTGCGAGTAGTCGCCCATGTCGATTTGTGACATCAGCGAAGCCAACTCGAGCGCAAGATCACGCGACAACGGAAAACGTCCTTGCACTATTTGTGAGTTCGTTTGGTAGCAAAATAGCAGACGTTCCTTGTCTGTTTCGAATTTGACGGTGTGTCGCCAGTAGAGGCGATTCTTGTAGGTCAATTGGATGACGCGTGTGTTTTCAAATTTGCCAGAACCTTTTTCGCGCAAGGCAGTCTCCCACTTGGAGATGACGTCGCAGAGTTTGGCAAGCGGATCGAGATAGTGTTCGAGATCTTTTTCAATTGGATCGTCGCTGAAGAGGCAGAAACCATTTGTAGCGTCGCGTGTGCCAATCTCCTGCGCGAGTGTGGTCTGGAACTCCTCGATCGTCGTCGAGCCGTCGAAGGAGACGACCTGTAAGAAAGATAGTAAGTATTTTGAAGTTAGTGTGACGGCGTAGATTTAAGGCTATGTGGGAATGAATATTTTAGTTGCTAACTCCAGTGTTATGTAAGTATTGCCCCAATATTAGCCTTATGATACCTTGGAACTCTGAAGCTCCTTGGGCACTAAGAGTCCGAACAGACAGATCATATAGAGCTCGCTGAGCCCTGCCTTAATTTGTAAATTTATTCCCGAAAACTCGTAGTTTCGACAGGATTGATTGGACAATAGTGAGAGGGGTGTTAGATGAGTTGGTTTGAATTGGGAGTCTGAAGGAGGAATATGGAAGAGAATTTTCGGTTTGGAAAAAATTGAGGCTTTCCTCCACATTGTCAACTGATTTCAATAGCATTATTTAATAGAAAATTCTTGGGTAACTTGACTGAGACGGATTTTTCGAAGAAGATAAAAACCGTGGCTGGTTTTCGGTTCTACAAAATAAATCTCGAGATCAAGGCAGGACGTAGTCATCTGTGAACTGCGATATTTGCGCGCTCTGAACGAATATTGTCCGGCCATGATGTCTAACCACAGCTATGTATACCAGACAAGCGCAATTTTTGAAGAGCTATAGCAGGACTTTTTTCTAGACCTCTCTTATATTCACTACATATTTTGGAAACAACTTTCTTGATGTGGTAAACTCAACATTTTCTGATCACAATTCATGACATCAGGGGCCATAAATCTAAATCTAAAATCAAAAAATTTTGGGCCATCCGAATGAACACTTCATCATTAAATAGAATGCCTAAATTAGCCGTTTTCTTACCTGATAAGTGGTGTTCATCATATGCACCGGTATGGCGTGTGGCAGTGAGTGATGATATGGATTCTTCAGCAATATGGACAGCACTTCCATGCGTGAGGGTTTTGTCTCGCGACCGCCATTTTTCAACGTCCGCTCCAAAGCGCGTTCACAATAAGCAGCATACTTGCCAGTCTCGGTCTTCGTGTCCGCATTACGTGACAGATGTAACTTCAAATACCACAAAAGACGACTTGATTTGGGTACAAAAAGCGATACGGCCAGCGAGAGTAGTTGCCAGCCTTGGACGAACGAATAGGCAGGTGGATTTGATTTGCAATCTATGATGGGTGGTGGTGCAGGTGCCTGTGAAAGCGAGAGAGAAATAGGTAGAGAGAGATAGAGAAAAAAGAGAGCGAAAAAAGGGGAAAACAAAAAAAGAAAACGAGATAAAGTTGGTTAATTCAGCATTTGATCACAAAATTTGTAAAATAGTGAACGCTCAAAAAGTATTAGTGGAAAGACATGCGTTTTAATNAGTTGCCAGCCTTGGACGAACGAATAGGCAGGTGGATTTGATTTGCAATCGATGATGGGTGGTGGTGCAGGTGCCTGTGAAAGTGAGAGAGAGATAGGCAGAGAGAGATAGAGAAAAAAGAGAGCGACAAAAAGGGGGAAACAAAAAAAAGAAAACGAGATAAAGTTGTTTAATTCAGCATTTGATCACAAAATTTGTAAAATAGTGAATGCTCAAAAAGTATTAGTGGAAAGACATGCGTTTTAATTTCTTCTAAATTAAAATAAATACTTAGCTATTTTCTTAGTATGTAAATTATGCAATTTCCCCCCATACCTGTATGGATGTTGGTGAACTGCCATTGGCCTGCGCGGCGCCACCTTGTTGTGTATCACAAGTGAATAGACTCTGCGTGGCGCACAATAGTAGTTGCTGTAAATTTCGATTTACATGTTCGAATACCATTTCGTTTTTGTTTGTTAATTTTTTTTTTTCGAATTTCAATAGTTTCGCACATTTGTTATGGGTACATTTACGAGCGAGTAGCGAGTGCAGGTTATTTATGTAGTTGGTTAGTAGCCATTTTTTTGGTTGGGGCGCGTCACAATTTTTTGATGTTTTTTTTTTTTGGTTTTGAAGGATTGGATAAGGCATGTTAGCACATATACATACATATATTTTTCACGGAGCGTAAAATAAAAAAATGAAAACAAAGAGAGCGGAAAGAGCGAGAGAAAAAAGGTATTGAGTTTGGTTGGTGTTTTAGAAATTTTGAATATATTTTTTAGGTATGTACATACATATGTATATGACTTTTAAAAACATTAGGAATATTTTCTTGCAGTGTAATGGAGACTTGCTAATGTTCGGATGTGTATATTCGTATGTGTGTTATACTTTTTCTGAGTCATAATTTTTGAAGAAAAAAATACGTTCCTTTCTAGACTAAATATGCTATGCATGATTTTTTTTCAAAATTCCTAATAAAAAATTTTCTAGTAAACATCCTTAAATAAAAATATTAATTCCCAACACAAAAGGAGTAACTTTTCTAAGTTTTTTTCTAAAATTTCAACAAAAATTTTCATATGCAACTAAAATCTTTATTGAGAAATGTATAGAGTGCATATATTTTGAAATTAATTAATTTTCTTGGTTTGCGCATTTGTTCGACTTTTTGTGAAAAACTGATCTACATACTAAATTTTATTTTCCTAGCTAAATCAGTTTGTACTAAAATTTGTAACCAAAAATGTATAGCAAACGTTTTAAAGTTAAAAAAAATAACCAGAATATACATATGTAGGTATGTATATGTACATATGTATATATCTTAAAAAAAACAAAAGTAAAAACTATTTAAAATTTTTAATTTTTTCATATAAGTTAGTTAACATTAACAACATTATAAAATGTTAAATGTTTATTTAATTTTTTTTTTTACTTTTATATTTGGTGCAAAAAATATAAAAAATAAAAACAAGTCAAAAATATTTGAATTCTTTTCGAAAAAAAAATTCAAAATATTTAATTATTTATTTTTTAATATATTTACAAATATTTTGATTTGTTTTTACAAAAAATAATTGAAAAAGTTCTACCTAAACATCTAATATTTTTGGCACTAAAATAATAAAAACAATTCAAATATCTAGAAACTTTTTAAGTATGTATTAAGATTTTGTGTTTAAAATTTTTTGGAAATTTTCATATTTTTGAAGACTTTTTAAATATTAGGTCTAAAATGTATAGATATTTGAAAAAATATAAAATTTATTTAAGATATTAAAATTTCTTTTACAAAATAATGTTAAAAAATCGTTTAAAAATAATTGTTAAAAAATTTCTTAATTTTATTTTGTTTACTCCAAACTATTTCCCTTCAAATTAAGTTTTTTGTTTCGAAAAATTATTTGACCAATTCTTCTAATATTAAATATTTTTAGTAAAAATTACTTTAAAAAAGTCATTACATAATTTTAGACCTTTTCCTAGATGTTATTAGACAATTTTTTAAGGTAAATATTTCAATTTTGATGCGGTTCGTTTCATTTACAGGAGCTCTGTTGAAAAAAATTATTTCTCGTAGTGACAATAAGTATATGTAAGTCGCATTCAATTAAATTTTCTACTATGTATAATATTCCTCTAACATTGCAGCTAAGAAAACTTCGTCTAAACTGCTGTTTAGTAGTAAATTTATATGTATTTGACTATTTTCTCACTGCTCTCGTCAATTACCCAAAATAAAGCAGAAAAGCATCATAAACACATTTAAATTAAACATTTTTGATACAAAATAAAAATTTTAATATTATTGAAATGATATAAGAGCGTTGCTAAAAGAGGTACATTGAGAAAAAACTTGGTGTAGTTTGATATTCAAATTATTTGTGTCAGGTTAACAACGAGAAAGAAAATTTCTGCTGAAAAATGTGCGGCGAAGAGTTTGAAAGAACGTCGCAGCACTGAGTAAAAAAAGAAGAGAAATTGAGTGGCATTGAGTGAGTAAGAGATACCAATATGAGTGACTTAATTTTTTTTTTATGTCTATTAACTTTAGCATTCTAATGGTTCACCACAGTTGAAAAGCCTTAGCTAGAACCAATAAGTGGACTGCTCTTTCTTGAATGAAAATATGCCTACATTGAGTTTAAGCCCTTGTTTGAAAGCTGTACAAAATGGCTTGTTTTAAAATAACGCTGATTTTCTTATTTGTTTGATAAGATTTTCATGTAGTGAAGATTTCTTAAAAACTATTTATTTGTTCGGTTTGAGTAAAAATTGAGCAATACATATTTCGAGCAGAGCAGGAAGTAGAATACTTCTACGATCCAAAGTAGTCGAATTCACCAATGACTAACAAAAATTGCATCTAAGTCCGTGCTCAGATGTGACAGAGAGCTTTTACACGGCGCTTATCAATATAAAATAGTATTAGTATTCGCAGGCACGTGTGCTCAGCTGTTTCTAGCCTTTTACTCTTACTCTTACTCTTAGATCGTGACCATGAAATCTGTAGAAAGATCTAAAAGAGCTTCTCTCGTGGTACCTGTTTCAATAGTGACTGCTGTAAGGTGTCCAACTATGATTGAATTATATGCCTGAGTGAGTTGCTTGTGCTCGACTACAATTTCCTTTGGGTTGAGTAAAACGTTTATGTGAGTGAGTAGTGTGATTAAGTGTTTGAGTGAAATATTATGTTTGAGTGTCATTTGTGAGTGAGGACGAATCAAAGGAGGAATTGTGATTGTAAAATCTGAGGAAAATTGAGATAATAGTAGGATTTACACATAAAAAAAGAGCTTCAGCTCATTCAGTTGAGCTTTTTCTATCAATAAAAAGCTTAAAATTCAACCAAAGCTCACTCTTTATGCATAAGACCCAGTGTAATTGAGAAGTGTCTAATCAAAAGATGATCTTTCCACTATACATTATTTTATAGCAGGAGCGAAAAACGAAAATAGAAAACCCCAAAATCTACTGGAAATGTCGCGAATGTCAAGGTTTGACTAGTTTTAAAAAATATATTAAACATGTATTGGAATTGGAAATATCATCTTTCGATTTGAAAGAGCGAGAAGTGTGCGAATTTTCGAATTGAGTTAAATCAGTGAGTATATCGTCGCTAGATACCATGTCAAACTATCGAATGTGAAAATTAAACTGTTGTAAAAAATGTTGTTGTCATTAGCAAAAAGTGTGGGATTCCACGCTTTGTTAAAACCAGTATCGGAAATTCGACGATTTTCCAACTTACGTACCATTCTAAACGCATGCGCAAGGTATCGAAAAGGNTTTTAAAAAATATATTAAACATGTATTGGAATTGGAAATATCATCTTTCGATTTGAAAGAGCGAGAAGTGTGCGAATATTCGAATTGAGTTAAATCAGTGAGTATATCGTCGCTAGATACCATGTCAAACTATCGAATGTGAAAATTAAACTGTTGTAAAAAATGTTGTCATTAGCAAAAAGTGTGGGATTCCACGCTTTGTTAAAACCAGCATCTCTGCTTTTAAAAAGATCGGAAATTCGACGATTTTCCAACTGACGTACCATTCTAAACGCATGCGCAAGGTATCGAAAAGGAAAAAAAAATGTGAAAAAATTTCACATTCGATAGTTTGACATAGTAGATACGATATGTATTTTCTATGTACTTATACGAATATGTAGTAGACGAAAATGTAATAAAAATTTACAGCAAGTACTTTATACACGATTATTTATGCATGGGCATGTTTACAGACATTCACGAAAGTAGTTATGTGAAAATATCTTCATTATTAAAAAAAAAAAACAAAAAACTACAATAATTCATCGAAAAAATGTGGTATAAAATTTTATATAGGGCAATCTAAGTACAAGCTTTTATTTTTTACATTTCCCATCCAGTAAACTTTGAAAGAGTAGGAGCATAACTTCTCCAATGAAAAATATATTATCTCATTAAGAACACTGAGCATTTAAAAGATTTTAATATGTGACTAAATATATTTATTCATTTATCTGAAATTCAGACAGTGCCTCTGACTTTTGGAGATCTCTCAGAAAAGAGTACTTTATCGGTTTCTCAGAGTGGCAAATATGTTAAAGACGAAAATTGTGTGACCATTTTTGGTGATTTTTAAACGAACAGAAGGCACTTGAATTGCTCGCATTATATACATATATATATATTTTTAATGTAATAGAATAGGCTTTGAAAAATGAGTGGCTATTACAAGCTTTTAAGACAGCTATGAGGGAAAATTTTTATCTCACCCAAAGCTTATTAATTTTATGACTTTTTAATAGTTTTCTTTTTTTAATCGATAAGTGCTGCTCCACACGCTCAGGTTTTCGTTTACCCGGCAGCCGGTTTGTCGGCTCAAAATGTATGTACAGCCATTCGAGATTTCATACAAGCCAGTGCCCGGCGAAAAACACATATTTTGTACTGGCAAACCTGTTGCCGGTTAACCAGCTACTGGTACGTGTGAAACGACTCTAAAGCTAGGATCACACGATTTGTACATTTGGCTAAAAATTTGTCAAATTCATAGACAAATCATGTGAACGCTAAATTACATTTGTCATTTATCAGAAAAGCCAAATATTTGCCTTCTTGTGGCAAATGAAAAACAACCCTGGTGGCCAAATCGTGTGAACGCAATGCTGCTACATAAGCCAAATAAAAATTACGCAAATGACCAAATATCTGATTTGCCACTTGATGACAAATGCCAGTGACAAATATACAAATATTGTTGAGCGGTGTTGCCATTTCGTGCTTGTCAACATTTGTTTTTTCCAATTTTGGTAAAATTTTAATATTTAATATAATATTCGTATCCGAAAACTACCGAAAAATATCACGTTATTTGAAAACAATAATTTTAAAATATTTGCTCAAACTGAACATTTGAAAACATGTACATATACGTA